TTCAAACATGAAGGATCCACTCTCCCATTCACACACCGTGGGAGAGTGTACAATATGTAGACTCTGCGGATGAGGCGGTTTGAGTGTCTTGCAGCTTTATTTCAATATAAGCTTTCCATTTGCTATTCTTCCAGATCTGTACATTGCATGATCATTGTTTTTGTTTTTTTGAGTAGTACATAAAAGAAATCACTGTGGTTCCCGGTCATTAGATCAGATTGAGTCCACAGACACAGACTATAGGGTGATCAGACATACTTATTTTCCACAAGTCTCTACAGATGGTCCTCCACCCTCTATCAAATGAAACACAAGTATATTTCAGATGACTCACACAGTAAGAGCCAAACTGTTTCCGCAAGTGGGTCTCATTCCACTCAGCTCCTGTTTTAATTGGATAGACTTTTGTTTGTTTGTCAGTTATGTCATTGGTACAAAAATAAAAATATCTACAGTATGTGATATGCATGCTTTTACACACATCTGCAAGTCCGTTTGCAGAGTGAGAGCGCAACGTTGGAGACCTTTTGGCATGACATGCACCCAAAAAAACATTACAGTGCGTATGCAAATGAAGTAGGAACACTGTCCTCATTATCTCATGTGGATGTGGTAAACTTAAACAAAAATAAGCTTAATCCTACAGTAAACATCCTAAACAAGATGTACATGTTTTTGTAAACTATTCATTGCTATTCAATAGTAAGAGCACGACAAAACCCAGTATTTTCTAGAATTGTCAATGTGTCAAATTTGCAGTCTCTTTTCCCAATGCTGCAAATACGAATATGTAAAAAGAACATTTTCCATCGTACTGCAACCTCTTTAACCGGTTTAATGAGGCTTGGTGTGCATGCAGGTAACGCTGTTTGACTCACTCACACATAACAACCGTAAATTGACTTGCGATGTGAGCCATAGTGTGCTTTTGTTTGCCATTAATCTAACGTACGTATAATAAGACACCAGTGGATAACGGTTATCTATTTTGGGCATTGGAATCTCATTATGGATCTAAATTAAAAATCTTCGGGTCAAGCTGGTTCGAGACAATGTCATTGCCAGACCAACCAATTGATTAATCACCAGTCATTTAGCAGCAAAACAGATAAGCCATGTTTTACACATGAACTACAAAATACAAAAATAAAATATATATATATATATATATATATATTTTAGTTCCCATTATGCACAAGTATAAACAGAAAATTGTGAATAGTTGCTTTGTTCTGTCCATTCAATTATATTGCTAGAAACATCCAATTAACATTACTCCATGTTGAAGTCAAATCCTCATTCAATTACTTTAGCAACAACATTCAAAAGGTCAGCAAAGGTTCTATCTGGTCTGCTGTATTCCATATTTGCAAAAACCAGAGAGGCGATTTACTAATCCCCTTATCTTGTTTGCAACCCAATAGTCTGTAGCATCAATTATAATCCACTGGCAAAACAAATTGAGTGGTTCGAAGCGCGACATGGAGTATAATCAATTTAGTGACACGTCAGGAAGCGTTTGGCCCTTGATTTTTGAGGTTACCTTACAAGCTATTTACTCTGTCTCGAGACAAAATTGTTTCTTGGGGACATCAATTCTGTGGATCACATACTTCTCAAACCACAATTAGTATACTGCAGAAAAGGCGTTTGCGAGCGAAAAGAGTTTGTTGGGTTAATTTTGTGTCTTGTCACATTCTATTACAGAGCAGGGAGCAGGGGATAAGGGATTGACTGGAGAAGTGTGGTTTTGGGGTAATTAGATGGATTTAGTGCTGGAAGGTGATTGTGGGAGAGCAAGATGATCAGAGCGCTCTCAGGGTCAGCACCGATGTTATTTATGTGTGTGTGTGCGCCTGTGCGTTCGTGTGTACGTGCGAGTGTTTGTGTGTGTGTGTGTGTGTGAGTGTGTGTGCGTGTGTGTGTGTGTCATTACTTCACCGTTCCAATCATACAGAGATTTATGGCCGGAACAAGGAGTGGGTAAAAACCTGTACCAAGCCACTTAGCTGAACCAAAGTCATCACCTCCAGGACTCCAATATGTTTTGTGAAAAGTAATGGAATGGGCTTCTGTTCAAGCAGGAACATTCATCTTCAGTGAAACATGTACATAATCGGCAGTATTCAGTCACTCCGTACACTTTGGTGATAAACTACCATTGTAGCCACAGCTGCCATGGACTGACAGAAGCAAGGTAATCAGTACGTGCCATCGCACATACCGCACCACCAGCAATCCGCACTCAATAGGCAGGCAATGTACGTGAAGCCCAACCACACAACAACATTGTCCGGTATTACAGCCGCAGCTGCCCCACTGTGGCACCTGGTGGACCCAGAGGTCTCCCATCACAGTACTAGCCAGGTCCTGTCCCACTTGGCTTTTGAGGTCTGCCAGGATCACACTTTTACATTCAGGTATAACGCCATAATCACAATTGCCTTGCTCACAAACAGAGGTTATTTAGTTGCCCTTCATATGTGAACATTTTGCTGAGAAAGTGGTTTCATGGACTAAAGAGAAGATATAGAAAAAAATAAAATACTAGAGATTAACAAAAGGTTTAGCAAACAGGTAAAAACCACATTTAATCCAGAATAACAGAATAAACAGGTATATACCAGGACTAACCCAGAATTAAAAACAGTTTAATCAGAATTTAAGTAAAATCCAAATATGTGGTGTGGATAATTTATATTTTGACACCCAATATAATGTGCTATAAGCCAAAACAAGACATCATTTTATCTTGTTTCAAAAATTTCAGAAGTCGAAAAAATCATTTGTGGGGTGTCTCCTTTTTTGGCAGGGGCTATCTGGGAAGCCTCAGAAGGTTGTGTTGCTTTGTATGGCAGTAGTCATGTCCTTTCCCTCTGTAATTCGACTCCACTATATGGAAGAATTCCTATTCCCTGTATTATTTACTTTTCACTTTGATGGAAAAGTTGTTTTCTCTGTTGCTATCATTAGCTTCCAATATCTTGGACATTGTTTATTTACATTTGTGCGTAGTCTTTTTGTCTTGCCTATTTCAACAAAAAGGCTCCAGGTTTGACCTTTAATGTAACACCTTTTTTGAAATGTTTTAAGTGCCACTTATATACATGTACGTATGTGTCTATGCTTCAAAGGTCCTTAAGACGATAAGGACGGGAAAGCAAGGATAAGAAGAGTTATTTATAGTTTGAATGCATCTGAAGGTCGGCTGGAGAAAATTATTACCCTGTAAACAGCTATTAAACAAATATACATCTGCAGCTCAACTATTATATACTGTATGTATATAATAACTTACTTGGACATATATATATATATATATAACTGACTTCTATATTGGAGCTCCAACTATTATCTAAACTGGACTTTTAAATAAAAAGGAAGCAATTGTTGAAGGAAGGCTGTGGTTACTCCTAGACAAACTAAAGCGACTGAAGAGCCGATCTTTTCAATCGGATTGGATACAAAAGAGACTGTGATCAGATGGAGTGGTGAGTTGTATGTGTAACAAATGCTGGTGTGAAACATAATCTCCAGTTTCCAAACAAATCGTGGGTAAGCTGCGCTTATATAACTTTGAATCTGAATGTGATGAAGTTAGTGCCTCACAAACCATGGAACTCACCACACGTCTGTTTGGAGCCACCTCTAAACCCATGGGGCCATATTGCTTTTCTCGCTGGACAAAACGTAATGCCCATCTGACATTTATCACTCTAACGTGCAGAACATGCAATCAGAATGAGCCTCTCAGAGGAGCCAGAAACACATTCTTACTGTGTGTGAAAAACAAAACTTTTCTTTTCATTCTCACAGAAAGGCCGAACTGCATTTTAACTGACATCCACTGAAGCAAATAACCAGCAATCACTGTAAAATATTTCAGTTCCAGCAGCTGACCAGACAGTAGGCCTACATGGGAGTCATCCTGGCCACTGGATTCCACGTTATCTGTACAACAGTGCCCCCTACAGTTAGAGGCTCGTTCTGCATATGCCCTGGGTTTCCAGAGGGATCATGGCAGAGGACCTGTCTGATTTGCTCTGTCAGTTCTGAAACATTTCACAGTTTACCACCTACCTTCACCAGGATCAGGGCTGTTCTGGATCTAAATTAGGGCTAAGAGGGCAGAAATGTGGAATAGAATGGTTACAAATTCAACCATTCCATGCCACTGCGGTGTGGGGTTAGGGTGTGCTAAGACCACATGAAAGTAATTTGTCTGAGGCTCCAGAGCAAATGCACCAGTGAAACATTTATTTCCTACTTGTAGGAATATGCATAGTGAATAATGAAGGCTATCCTAAAGATTTTATTTTTCCCACAAGGTTACCATTTATAAACGTTCCTTTTCCTTTGTCAGTAAATTGTTATAGAAGCTTAAACCATTCAGACAAATACACTAAATAAAATCTGTCTACCCCCATGAATTTAGCAGAGGTGGCATCTGACTGCAGTTCTGTTCTTAAGTTACTTGAGTACTATACTGTGTCAGTACTTCACGAGGCCTACCCTACTAGGAATTTAGTTTTACTTACTTAAGCTCAATTATCTGTACTTTCTTTTCTTTCCAATTGTAAGTTCCTAGTTTTTTTCCAGATAGGTTCAACAGTTTTATTTCTTCAATGATATTACAATGTTAATGTTTGCTTAACATGTCTCAAATGAATCAACAGTTTTTCAATTATTTAAAAAAAAAAATTCAGTTAACTTGATTATACTTCTTCTCATAAATACATACAAAAGCTTGTACTTAAGTAAGTTCAGGATTTTGATACTTTATTATTGACCAGAGTTATGAGTTCCTGACTTTTTGGACCATCATTTATAGTGTTGGAGCGCCCCCTGGCGTCAGGCAGTCATAAGTACCATGTTGATGTTTCCTGTCCAGCAGACATATTGCTTACAAGAGCAGTTTCTGGAAAGCAGCACTAGGGAGCGGGTCTAGCGCTATAAGTCGTGTATTTGTTCCTTTTAGAAGCGCTTCAACCGCACAGACGATGGGTAAGATGTGAGATGAGAGTGTTTTAGACAGAAGTGACTGACATTGTGTTGTGACGTCTTTACCGGGCCAACGATTACGAAATCTGGACTGTCAGTGTTTAGCTAACGCATGCTGCTAACTTAGCAGTGAAGCTAACTTTCGTTTAGAAGCCACTAAACATCTTCAATCACATCCACAGTTCAGGGTTATAGTGTTTTAGCTGTGTATGGCTCGTGGGTGGTTTCAAGATAAAAAATATTGAAGGTCAACGCAGTCATTTGAGCTGTATGGCAAACATGGAGTAAACAAAGTGTTAGCACCTGAACAGTTAGCATAAATATATTTAGCATTTCTCAGACAGCTGAATCCAAATAATTCTCTGACGCTAGAGCCTTGCTTTTTTGACTCCCTAATATTAGCTTTTGTATGTATTCTGTGTCTTTTAATTTTTAAAAATTCTTAGAATCACATTTACAAATTAGGTCTGTAACGATTAACCGCTACTAATCAATTACTGCTGTAGTGATTGATTAATCGTTAACTGCTCTATTAGCAGACTTCTGAAGTCTATAAAACTGTCTTAAAATGAGTATGTACTACTTTCAAAGTGGTGTGCTTTGTTGCCTTTTGTATTTTATATGTGTACAATACATAGCTTAGTTCACAAATTTACGTTTAAAAAAAAAATCTCCAACAATGTGGTGCAATAATGGTGAATAATTATATCACCAAGGTGTCAGTTTATACAGACTATTACACATTTGACTTTACATATTTGTCCTTTAGGGCTTTATTTAAAATTGAAGTTAATTCTGCTTCAATTCACAGTGAACTCCATACTTGATCTCTTCTTATCTGCGCCGGTGCTAATATAAGTACTTTATGATTTCTCTTTGTGTAAATTTAAGCCAGCTATATACAGGTTCACTGATAATGAAATGTGTGTGATAGTTGTTACATTATGCCTTCATTGTTGCAGATTAGTTGGCATGCCCGTCGTACTATAGCTTTCAGGAAATTCCTGAGTTTTTCTGATTTGTATTAAAGAACAATGTTTTCATTCAATCCTATAGAGCCGTCAGCGAGTCCGGCCAAGGATAACTGCAGGATGAACCGCTACAAAAACAAAGCACTGAACCCAGAGGAGATGAGGCGCAGGAGAGAAGAAGAGGGCATCCAGCTCAGGAAACAAAAACGGGAACAACAGGTGTGGCCATAGCTATGAGAATCCAATAGTAGTTTCAAAAAGTAGTTCTCTGGACCAGGTTTCCTGCGGGGAAAACTCGATTTGCATTGGTCCACCTAGAAATGGGCTACTAATGCATTGACAATAACATTTGTTAATTATTTGCGAAACTAAAACATAGTGTAGCAACAAGTAACTTGTAAGATGTCTTGTCATGTCTGTCTTCCACGTCACTTTGGCGAGTTTGGTAAGACATGAGACTTTTGTTTTTGTTTTGTTTTTTCATTACTGAGCAGAAATTTTACATAAGTATTTATAATATTCACATTCCTTAGTTTACATGACCTGTTGTACATGTTGCATACTGTGCTTACAGTATATACATGCAAATATATAAACATGAATACAAACAGTATTTGCCATAGTTTCACCATGTGTTGTAAGGTCAGTTGTGGTTAATTGGTGACTCACACTAATTGCTGCGTGAGGATGACCGTGGTTCACCCCAGCCCTATTGAGAAGATGGTATAAGAACTGAAGTTTTTTTATTAAATAAATTCCCTTATTTTAGATATGGAATTGAGGTCAAGATAATGGGCAAGTTGTAAATGTCTTTTTAATTGTGTAAATGCCAATTCAATTTTTAAAAATCAAGTAATTCATTAAGCAAATTAATTTCTAATAACTGTCTAACAAAGGGGCTGGTGCTATGAGACTTGGGTGGCATCTCTGATTGCCACCCCCCTGACCCAGAGATGGATTAAAGGGTAGAAAAAATGGATGGACAAGTTGACAGCCAAAAAAACGTCAAGGGTTTCTCAGCTGATGATCCGCAGAAATTTGTTTTTTACGCAAAATCGATTAAAAAAATTTCTGTAACAAAAAATCCTGACCTGATTGAGCAAAACCAAGGCCATTTTCGGACTCAGAGCATCAAAATTAGTGTAATTCAGCTGGAAAACCCTGGACTATTTTTTGTTACCCAGTGTAAAAAGGCAAAATAATGGTTAGAGCCCTAATGCTTCTGATTCAGACCATTCAAAAGTGTACGTTTTCCTTTATCGATTTGTCTTGTCTTATTTTCAAGCTTTTCAAAAGGAGAAATGTTGATACAGTCAGTGAAGATGAAGCCATGTTTGAAAGTCCTCTGGTGGATGCCTACCTCAGCTCTCCTGCAACGGTGAGTGCTGATGAGAACAAGCAGATACTGTAAACAAATGCTGACTTTCGATTGACCATTACCTTCTCTGCAGGAAGCCGTAATTACAAAAGAGATGGTTGACATGCTTTTTTCTGACGATCTGGAACTTCAACTGGCCACAACGCAAAAGTTTAGGAAACTTCTGTCCAAAGGTATTCCACTCGCAAACTTCATTCACAACCAGCATAAAATAAGTGGTTATTATTTAATTTGTTTTTAAAAGATTGTAATCTACTTTTAGAATCAAAATTATTTTATATTTGCATTGTAACAGGAAGTTGCAAACTAGCAATTTACTTCGGCTCAAGATGCAAAGAAGTAATAAAAGTACTTTAGAACTTCAATGTAGTTTATTCCTGTTTTAAGACCAGTTTATTTGTTTTCATTCATTTATTTTTTTAATACACCGGATGACAAATGTTATAATTTGCTGCCAATTTAGTGAAATAATTTAGAACAGCTGCCTTAAATTTCATATACATTTCAGAACCTAATCCCCCCATTGATGAAGTTATAAACACAGCTGGTGTTGTGGAGAGATTTGTGGAATTTCTGAAGAATGGTGACAACAGCACGCTACAGGTATGGGCGAGGATCCTTCTTTAACATGCACAAAAAAATACAATCGGTAACTTCCTTTTACAATCCATGTGTTCTAGTTTGAGGCTGCCTGGGCTCTGACAAACATTGCATCAGGTACATCCATGCAGACCAAGACCGTGATCGAGGCTGGTGCAGTACCAGTCTTTAAAGACCTCCTCAACTCAGACTTTGAAGATGTCCAAGAACAGGTGAAAGCAACTGCCCAATTTACCTTTTTAATACAAAATGCTTTTCATTAATGTATGTTTTGTGTGCAGGCTGTATGGGCCTTGGGAAATATTGCAGGAGACAGTGCTGTATGCAGAGACTATGTTCTGAACTGCCAAATCCTCCCTCCTTTATTATTGTATGTATCCAGTTTTTGTTTTGTTAAAGATATGGTTTGGAATTAGTATTTTGGTTTAGATGTAATTAGTGCCATCTGGATTACTGCACAAAAACACAGAAAACAAGGGCTATGTCCCAGTATACCCAGAAAACTGGACAGAGCCCAATCAACTGAACAAAACTATAATAATTTTGGCGTGAAAGCAAGTTTACAGACAGATCAGTTGCGGTAGTTTCTCTGTGGAGTGAGTGTAAATTGGGTATGAGACGAGGTGGAGACATTAGTTTTGGTCCACTAGAAACACCCTTTTAGGGATAAAACTTATTAACTGTAAGACTCTGCTGCTTTTCTTCTGGAGAATGAGTTAAAGCAATGTTTTGCACATTGTGACTTTTCATTTTTTGGATTTTTGCATTTAGCTCATTATTGTATTCCACACTTGTTCACTGTCTTGTGTAACTGTAATCTTGGGAGACAATGTCCTATTGCTGGTGTGTATGTGTTAATAAAATATGTTCATGATCTAGAGGGATATGTGGAAATTATGAAGGAGATAGTCAGCAGCTTTTTTAACTTTTTATTTTGGGGATTATATAACCTCCTAAAGTAAGGAACTAAATCTTTTGTGCATAAGAGACGTACAACCAGGGTCACATTATTGTAAACCAAATTCACTGGATTTCACGTATCTAGTTTGATTTTTGAAGTCCAAGGTTATCTTTGTATTAAAATGTCCAATTAGGATTCCTGTCCCTCCAGACACAACTGGCCAACTCTGGATGTTGGCAAACTATTTTTATTTAAAAAAAAAATAATTACAGTTGGGACCATTTTGAATTGCCACAGTCATTTAGACAAATAATCACTTGTCCATTTTATTTTAATTTTAGGCTTTTGACCAAATCCACTCGCTTGACTATGACAAGAAATGCAGTTTGGGCTTTATCCAATCTCTGCAGAGGAAAGAACCCACCACCAGCTTTTGAGAAGGTCCTAACAGACATCTGCAGAGCTCGTCTTACACCTTTCAGTCCATCGCTAACCTCAGGGCTGTGTGCTCCATCCTCCACCAGGTCGCCCCCTGTCTGCCCGTGCTGTCCAGGCTTTTGTTCAGCAGTGACCCGGACTTACTGGCTGACGCATGCTGGGCCCTGTCCTACCTCTCTGATGGCCCCAACGACAAGATCCAGGCTGTGATCGACTCTGGGGTCTGCAGGAGACTCGTCGAACTGCTCATGTAAGTCGCACTCACAGCTGCTGTTCATGGCCTCTGGAAGAGAATAGATATAGCAAGAACGTTTTGGATTAAACTATATTCTCCATGTCTTGTTTTGCTAGGCACACTGACTACAAGGTGGCGTCCCCCGCTTTGAGAGCCGTGGGGAACATTGTCACAGGAGATGATATTCAAACACAGGTACATACTATTCACTGTTCTAACATCACGAGCCCAAGAATGTCATGCACCGGTTCTTCCAACTGAAAGGGTTCAGAAATGTAACTTCTGATAGTATTGCTCACTTCATTACTTAATTGCTGTACTTTTTTCACTTTTTTGAGTGGTTTCTTGCTGATGCAGGAGAATATAAGGACTGATGATCCAGGACATTGATTCACTTTAACACTTGTGGACAGTGGTTATCCCGCTCCCTATGGATTAATGAGTTTGAACTGCGAATGTGTAAAGTCCTCAGAGACGACTGCTGTTGTGATTCAGGTGTATACAAAAAGAAATTTAATTGAAGGACCTGCAAATAGAGGGCAAAATGTGTCTTCTACCCCTTTTTTGTTCTCATTTTCTCACATCTTCGAACAGTGTATAACTTTTTCCAGTAGCAGTGTTTATTGCAGTATTAACCTTTTTACGTTTCATCTTATGGTTTGCTGTAAAATTACAAAGTCCAAAGAGCTGACGGTCCTGGATATGTTTTTCTGCACGTAGGTTGTGCTGAATTGCTCTGCCCTGCCCTGCCTTCTGCACCTCCTCAGCAGTGCCAAGGAATCCATCCGAAAAGAGGCCTGCTGGACAATCTCCAACATCACCGCTGGAAACCGGGCTCAGATTCAAGTGAGCATTTGTCTGGCCATTGTGGACAGAAGCAATTCTGTACAATTCTCTACAATATTTGACCGGGTCTAACCTTGTTTTCCTCTTGTTTGCCCATCTTTGCAGAAAGTTATAGACGCAAACATTTTCCCAGTACTAATTGAAATTCTACAGAAAGCAGAGTTTAGGACCAGGAAAGAGGCAGCCTGGGCCATCACCAACGCAACATCTGGCGGAACACCAGAACAGATCAGGTCAGCTCTCTCTAAAATTGGAAGGATGTGAAACATACAGTGCCTTGCGAAAGTATTCGGCCCCCTTGAACCTTTCAACATTTCACCACATTTCAGGCTTCAAACATAAAGATATAAAAATTACAATTTTTTGTCAAGATTCAACAACAAGTGGGACACAATCGTGAAGTGGAACAAAATTGATTGGATAATTTAAACTTTTTTAACAAATAAAAAACTGAAAAGTGGGGCGTGCAATATTATTCGGCCCCTTTGCGCTAATACTTTGTAGCGCCACCTTTTGCTGCAATTACAGCTGCAAGTCGCTTGGGGTATGTCTCTATCAGTTTTGCACATCGAGAATTCTTGCCCATTCTTCCTTGCAAAACAGCTCAAGCTCAGTGAGGTTGGATGGAGAGTAGAGGTGCAACGGTTCATCACTGATCCGTGATCCGTTCGGTTCAACGTCTTCGGTTCGGTACAGACGTGATCCGCGGTTTGATTTATGAAAAAAAAAGTTGTGCGCACGTTGTTCAGTCCACACACAGCGTGGTCATTGCGAGCGGAGGAACGGAGATACTTGAAAGCCCTGCGTCTTAAATCCCCAGTATGAGAGCATTTTGGCTTCACTGTAACTACACTGATGATTAATATTCGACAAAACTGTCACGATGTGTAAGCACTGTGGCACAAGAAGGACATGAGTGAAAAAAGCGTCTCAACGACCGCTTATTGTCGCGGCATTTAAGCAGCTCCTTTACGCACAGTCAGACCGGGCTAAAGTCAACTCTCCCGCGCATCCTCAGCTGCGCTCACGACTGACGCTTGGACGTACCGCAGAAACTATAATAGATCCATGAGCGGAACCGCTCAGTTCATCACCGCAGACTGGGAGATGAGAAGTCTGGCACTGCAGACACGCCCCTCTACGACAGTCACACAGTCACACTGCGCAGGTACTGACACAAGCAGCGGAGGAATGGAAGACAAAGGCCCAGTACTAATATCCCAGTCACAACTGATAATGCCAAAAATTAAATAAATGCAGTGAATGAGGCTGGACTGGGCCCAGAATGGACCCCCTCCTTGGGAGAATCAGGAAGGTGGTGTAATATATGAGGGTAAGAAGTGCCTTCTTATGTTGCACTTTGTGTTGTTTTTCATTAATTATGTTAAATAGACATAATTGGATGGATTGAATATGCCTTCCATCCATCCATCCATTTCCTTCCCCTTAATTCATTTCTAGGTCAGGTGGGGGCAGTCAGAGCAGGTGCCGAGTCCCCATGAGCTGTGTTTATTAAAAAGACAAAACTTTTTTTTAGAAAAATGAACCGAACCGTGGCCTCTGAACCGAGGTACGAACCGAACCGTGATTTTTTCAAACCGTTGCACCCCTAATGGAGAGCGTTTGTGAACAGCAGTCTTCAGCTCTTTCCACAGATTCTCTATTGGATTCAGGTCTGGACTTTGACTTGGCCATTCTAACACCTGGATACGTCTTTTTGTGAACCATTCCATTGTAGATTTGGTTTTATGTTTTGGATCATTGTCCTGTTGGAAGATAAATCTCCGTCCCAGTCTCAGGTCTTTTGCAGACTCCAACAGGTTTTCTTCCAGAATGGTCCTGTATTGGCTCCATCCATCTTCCCATCAATTTTAGCCATCTTCCCTGTCCCTGCTGAAGAAAAGCAGGCCCAAACCATGATGCTGCCACCACCATGTTTGACAGTGGGGATGGTGTGTTCAGGGTGATGAGCTGTGTTGCTTTTACGCCAAACATATCGTTTTGCATTGTGGCCAAAAAGTTCGATTTTGGTTTCATCTGACCAGAGCACATGTTTGGTGTGTCTCCCAGGTGGCTTGTGGCCACCTGGGAGACGCACTTTAAACGAGACATGGCTTTAAACGACATTTTATGGATATCTTTGAGAAATGGCTTTCTTCTTGCCACTCTTCCATAAAGGTCAGATTTGTGCAGTGCACGACTGATTGTTGTCCTATGGACAGACTCTCCCACCTCAGCTGTAGTTATCTGCAGTTCATCCAGAGTGATCATGGGCCTCTTGGCTGCATTTCCGATCAGTCTTCTCCTTGTTTGAGATGAAAGTTTGGAGGGACGGCCGGGTCCTGGTAGATTTGCAGTGGTCTGATACTCCTTCCATTTCAACATAATTGCTTGCACAGTGCTCCTTGAGATGTTTAAAGCTTGGGAAATCTTTTTGTATCCGAATCCGGCTTTAAACTTCTCCACAACAGTATCTCGGACCTGCCTGGTGTGTTCCTTTGTCTTCATGGTTCTCTCTGCGCTTTAAACAGAACCCTGAGACTATCAAAGAGCAGGTGCATTTATACGGAGACTTGATTACACACAGGTGCATTGTATTTATCATCAGTCATTTAGGACAACATTGGATCATTCAAAGATCCTCACTGAACTTCTGGACTGAGTTTGCTGCACTGAAAGTAAAGGGGCCGAATAATATTGCACGCCCCACTTTTCAGTTTTTTATTTGTTAAAAAAGTTTAAATTATCCAATACATTTCGTTCTACTTCACGATTGTGTCCCACTTGTTGTTGATTCATGACAAAAAAATTAAATTTATGTTTGAAGCCTGAAATGTGGCACAATGTTGAAAGGTTCAAGGGGGTAACTAAAAACAAGCATTCAATTTCAAATAATGAAAAGTTTTACACCTGTTTGATATTACTCGTATATTTAGCATTTATTGACCTTTTGCTTCATATATCGTCAATTTGGCTATCTTATACTTGTATCCAAACTCTTTCTCGATTCCAATCCCCCTAGGTACTTAGTGAACTTGGGCTGCATAAAGCCACTGTGTGACCTGCTCACTGTCATGGACTCAAAGATCGTGCAAGTGGCTCTGAATGGACTGGAGAACATTCTGAGGCTGGGCGAGCAGGAGGCCAAGCAGGAGACCACCGGCACGGGGGTCAACCCGTACTGCGCTTACATTGAGGAAGCCTACGGTAGGAAAGGATAGGATTGGATTGGATGGTTCTACCCAACTGTTCATCTTGTGCTTACTACCTGTTCTTATACCATGTACAATTGAAAAACAATTTTTCAGCCAATTTGCATATTGCAGAAAAAAGCTATTTGCGTCAGGAATTACGCTGGTTTTTATGCCTCAACAAATCCACTTAAATGCTTCCTGATTGTATCATGGACAGATAGAAGCTTGGAGAAACTATGACTTAAAGTACGGACTAATAATAAAAGCAGGTATATTTCAGTTAAGGGACTAGATCTCTGGAGCAAGTATTATAAAAGACTTTTCAAAGAAAATATAATGGACAATTATAGGAAGATATAAAAATGTGTGAGCTAAGAAAAGGTGAATATAATGTGCAACTAAAACATTATGATGATTGGTTGTTTTTCATTCAACCATTTTGCGATCTGTCTGTTTTTGATTTGTAAAAAGGTTTAGGCAAAAATATGTGAATATACTTCTAAACCATTTCAGTCAGAACTATTTTTTTATGACATAAGTAAGAAAGTTTATGAATTATGTTGATGTTATTGACTGAAATAAAATTACAAGTACTTACTGCTACTTGTGTTTTGGTTTTCAGGCCTGGACAAAATCGAGTTTCTTCAAACCCACGACAACCAGGAGATCTACCAGAAGGCGTTCGAGTTGATCGAGCATTACTTTGGCGGGGAGGATGTGGACAGTAGTCTGGCTCCACAAGTGGACCAGGCCAATCAGCAGTACCTGTTTCCCCAACAAGAGGCCCCTATGGAGGGTTTCCAGCTATAGGTTCCCAGTCTCTCCAAACCCCACCCTCAACCCCTGGCCCCAGTCCCCATTTTACTCATTTGCCACCTGTTGCGGTGTCTTACTGGAGAATTCCTTTAATGTTGATTTCCCAGACCTAAACCCCCTCAAGTCTTGCTCAGGAGCAGACTTGCGTGGAACCAAGGACTGCTTTCACTTGAGCCCTGGCTTAAACGCACATACGACCTCTTGCCACGAGACGGCCTCTTTTCCTCCTGAATGATTATCCCTTCACATACTTTCTATTTCTTTTTATTAATTGGACATTCCATTTAGAAATATGCTTCGGCGTCTTCCTAAAGGGATGTTGTGGAAATCCACCCAGTTTTCAATCCAACGTGCAATTGAAACAGTTGTACATCTTTATCCCTATTTTTGTTTTAGGTTTATTTAATCCCAACCCCTTAACTTATCTTTTTAAGTTTTTTTTTTTTTGTTTTTACTTTGACCTTATTTCAGTTGAAGAAATATGGTACTGACTGACTCTTTCAGTCTCTGTGCCATGCTCAACATATCGAAACGTTGAACTTGTCAGTGCAAATAGAGGGAGGAGGCTGCTTCAAAATCAGAGACTTTTTTCTGTTGAAAGTTTTGGGTATGGGGTTATTAACTGGTAAAAAAAAAATAAAGGGCTCAAATTTCTAGGTTCAGGGTTTGATGACAAACAAAATGTTGACTTGTGGGTAGTTTAGCGAGAGATCCGATGTGTGCCGTGTAATTAACCATTTGAATTTGAATGAAGTGATCTAACTTTTGAAATAACCACATAGCTGTGGGGATAAATGTTCTGCAGCGAAGGCCTTTAATGTTTAAGCAAAATCTTAGAAACAAATCTGTTACTTGTAAAAGCTGACTTCTTTAGAATTTGCTTCACCTTTTGGTTTAATGTTGCCACTAGTTGCCACTTTATCCCTCAGTCCTCTGCAGTAGGTGTTCAGCATGGTGTTCTATTACCTTGCATACTATCCAAGAATATCCCTGGTTAAAGGCTTATTGATGAAGATTGCGGAAGGCCACTATAATCTCTTGACAACAAATACGTTGGCAGTAAATGTAAAATAACATTGGTGGTGGATTAGTGTTTTAGCTTGTATGTAATATGAGCCATAACGTGCATCACTAAATCCAGTGCTCAATGAGTCTTTGTGCAAGCTGGAGGTTTTGGCCAGGGATATATTGGTCTCAAACCTTTTTAATAAGCCTAACTGCAAATGAAATTCAAGTAGAGATGTGTTCTTGGATTTCTATATTACTATATAGCTGCACACAGGTCATGCACACTTACATACAACACCAGCCAACACTGTATACACAACTCACACAGCAGTGGACAGCAGTAAGCCATGGGTTTCCAAAGGTGACACACGTACTTTTGGTTGTTTTGTTGGGCTTCAGTGCCCAGTGCACTTGCTTGGTTTATTTAAGTAAGCTTTATATTTTTTTTTTTTTTTTTTTTTGAGGAAAATATTTTTGTTTCTAAAGAAATGAAAGTGAATGAATATTCTCTGGAAACCCGCAGGTTGCTGCTGATCCTTGACGTATGATTTGGTGGATGTCTTGTGCCTGATTCAAAGTTCGCTTATATACTAAGTTATGACGGAGCGGTCTCTGGATCAGTGCAGAACTTTGTAAAAGGAGCTGAACTGTGATTGTGATGTTTGACTGACGGCGCTGTGAGGAAGAGCTGTGACTGACTGTCCCCATCTGAGCAGAGCGCCTCCTGTTCTGTGGATTTCACCACTAACTTATTGCATTACATGCAGTTGAAGCGATTGTGTTTATGACTTGAGTAAAAGCAAGAGCTTTAAAGCACATACTTGTAAAGGATCTGTATTTTCAAATTCTATCCACTGGGCTGAGCTCTTTTGGCTGACAAAAAGGTCACAAGTGATGAAATATGAATCTATCATTTGTCTGCACACATGGTTATGTTGAGTCTTTGATCTGTGTGTGGACATTACTGTTGCCAGAAGAGATGTTAAAATCTTAATTTCTAAACTGAAAATGCATGCCTATTCACTAAAGTGCCAATCCGACCAACAAAGACTGGAGGTTCTGACTTTAGGTGCTTTTCTTTTGATCTTTATTTTACTTGAATGCGCACACATTTTGTGCAAAAATATTGCTGCTCTATTTTCTTAAAGTTACATTTTTTGCCACTGTTTTGTTGAAAGTGGCATACTTCACCGTGGGCTCCCACAAAAGTAGTACAAGACATACAAATATTGGCTGAAAATAATACTCTTGAATCTGTTAATGACTTTCACTGTATGCTGCAGTGTCAGATTATTTGATTCTTCTATATTCTTGACTCAAGCAGGTACTTGCCTTGTTTTCAGAGGTGGTTTACCAAAGTGGATCGCCTTAAATGCTGATCTAAAAATACTTGATTTCCCTTTTTATAGAAGTAATAGTAAATAAGTAATCTGCCTGTTCTTACCCAGTTTCTGTTACAGAAAATTTCCATCGGCTTCTGTAGGTTTAAAGCAATGATGGTTCACTTCATACAATATTTCCCCTCATCCCAGTTCTTGTTAATAATGTTATAAAGTCTTGCAGTAACTGCAACTCAGTAAATCTGTCTCCAACCCATGACGTGGGTGACACTCCTTACGATTGCTTTTACTATTATAGTCTGGGATTTAGAAATTGTGCAGTGATTTACATTTAAAGTATTTAAGTTAAATTATATGTATTTTCTGATACATTAACCGGGATTCAAATGCAATTCTGATCACTTCTGAGAAGTGGAAAAGCCTCATTAGAACATGTTTTCACAAGACAAAACTAGAAGGTCAAGTACAAATCTTGTCCTTTTCCTGATCAGGTTATTCTGATATTCTTATTTTTGTGTCGAATTTTGTCCTAGTCACTGTATGATCAGGAACGTTGAGATATTGAAAAGGCAATTCAAGTATCTTCAATCTGTCTTCCGTCCTAGAAGCTGTTTGTCTTTACTGAAACCTACAGTTGTACTTTGCTCAGTCAAGTAATGTCTACACTACAAATGTTTACAATCGCACTTGTTTGTGAAATACTTTTGATATGCCATTTCTGACTATTGTCTTCATGTAAATTCTCTCTGGTCTTTGCATTTCTTTTACATGTATTTATTTTCTCGTTTCCTGTTTATTGACTTTTGCTTTGCTCCAAAATGACCCTGTATACTGTGACTTTACTGGACTTTACCGACGGTATGAATGCGTGAGAATCAAGTACACTTCAGCTGAACATGATACACAAACATGAACATGGAAAAGTACATTCTGCTTCAATATGGAAACTAAGAAACGTATATTGAATTTGTCCAGTGGAAATATTGTACAAAAAATAAAATTATGTTGCAAACTTATTTGTTTTTGTGTTTGTTAGTATGATCCCAAATAGTGACATTCACCTGTCTTTATACACAGCTCCTCCAGCCACTAGTTCTCTTATAGATTATTCTTTATTTCAAAAGAATTTCTACCATCGAAGTTTGACAGATTAGATTTTACAGGTAACTCGTGAACATCTTGCTTGCAATTATTATTTTTTTAAATAAAAGTTTAGGTTTTCCATGGCAATGGTAAGACATTTTCTCAAATTAAATGATTAGATTGTAATCTAAGATTATGTTCTGAGTTAATCATCAAAATATGCCTGTTCTATGTATTTTTTCTAATCTTGGTGTGATGTTATCAGTTCTAAAATGTTTGGATGTAAGCCGTATTGCTATGAAGGGATTTTTTCTTGCATGGTGACAAATGCATACAGTACAGTAACGTTAAAGTAATAGTGAGCAGTTCCTGTGTTTCAATTTGTTTTGATTTTCGAATGTGTTGTTGAGGAATTGACAATTGAGATTTAAAGTTGTACACAAATGTATTTTAAGCATTTAATTACACTCCAAAAACTCCCAAAATTACAACAAACGTTTGTTTCCAGCCAGAGGACAAGAGAGCCAAGTGCAAGAAAGGCCAAGTAAGGTCATTATGTGTTTATCTGGTGTTGTTTTGTGTGCTGCCAGCAGATGGCGCCTGACCGCAGCTTTGCGGAGCAATAGAGGAGAAGGAGAAAACCAGCTTATGTCCGGAAGTGTTTTTCTCACGCTGTCCAAAACAAGCATCGCCCCACACTAAGCTCTATTTCTGTCGCATTTAACGGTAAACGCTTATTTTACAGAGGGAAATTCTATGTGAAAATATATTTGTTCAAATAATTGTGTATGTCTTGTCACTTGCTAAGAATTTGTCTGTATTTTAGTCAAAACTTTGACATGTTAGCCTGTTGAGCTAATGTAATGCTAAATTGAAAAAGAAGGGGTTTTTGCATTAAATATAGTATTTCGATTACAGACTGTATTGTGAAATGTTTTTCTGTGTTTGATCTGATCATGATTAAAGTTACACCTCCGACGGAATTTTTGGTGGTGACGTTACAGTAACTTGTCATTTCTAACTGGAAGATTTAATCATAAACGTTCTGTTATGAATCAAATGCATTTTTAGTCTCTAAAGCACCATGAAATCAGTTGGTAGTTGAACAGCTAAAGAATTACAGTAGTTAGTTTGAAATAGACTGACTTTTGCTATAAAAAAAATGCTACTGGCTTGATGAACACAAAAACACCCATGTTCCTTGATTGTCTTTCTTTAGAGATGAAGAAGCAGGACGCAGATGAGGCATCGGCTCTGCAGGGCCCCGAAGAGGCTCCAGTTCCAGCAGCAGAGATTGAGACGCCTGCCGAAGACAGTGTGGAGTGCACCAGCCCCAAAGAGTCAGACACACAGAGCCCACAGACAGACAGCCCTCCACAAGCTGAGAATACTCCAGCAGAAGGTAACTGGAAGAGGACACGGTTAAGAAAAGAAACAATTCATCCTGAGGGATTTCTTTGATTAAATCAATTATAAATGAGCCATAACTGCTACAAATTCTTCTCATGTACATTAACCTTTGAGTTTTTGACATGAATAAAGCTATAGAAACAATATGATATATATCGCTACTGTTCACTTGATTGCTGAATACTTAGCTTTCTAAGATCTGCTTTATTCATGCTTTTTGCTTGTTTTCACATGAATCACACTATGTGCAATTAGTTTGTTAATTGTATTGGCCGTTATCAATTAAATTATGCAAGCCCCTGCTGTAGTATCCAGTGTAGCAGGTACAACTCATGCACTATGCATTTTGTCATGTCGTGTCATGGGTGGTTGGTAGCTCTCAATTGTTAGACTACACCAAGGCCTGATGAAAGAGTAATTCCACAGAGCAATGCAGCAAATTGCAGTTAAAAAAAACTCCTATTTTTTGTGTATCTAGTCCCAGATGCTGCCTTGTCTCAGTGCGACATGGCTGAGGAGCTCAGTCGGCAGCTGGAGGACATCCTCAGCATTTACTGCAGAGAGAGTGTATCCAGCAACAGCACTGTGGCCAACGGTCAAACACTCAGCCCAGAGTTTAATGGCCACAGCGATAAGGGGGCAGACAAACCAGCAGGAGCTAAAGTGGAAAAAGACCAGAAGAAGTCCCAGGACAAGAAGAAAGTCAAGGGTCTGGGTAAAGCAGCTTAAGACATTCTTCTCATGTTGATGTTGCCCAATTGTCACCACCAGCTCATTTTGATTTTCTCATTCAAGGCAAAGAAATCACCCTTCTAATGCAGACCCTTAACACACTGAGTACCCCAGAGGAAAAACTTGCAGGACTTTGTAAGAAGTACGCTGAGCTGGTAAGTCATTTATTCTTAAAGATGCTCGCATAACTGAGACATGCATAGTTAATTACAGTGAGACTTTAATAAGCTTTATAGACATAATCCCAATTACTATAGAATTTTCAGTGTGTGGGATGAGCTGTCAGAAAACAAGGTCCCGCACACTGCAGTACTTGCATTTTTTTTTTCATTGAATTTTCTAAATTGTCTATAGATAAATGTCAGTAAAGGGAAATTTTAAATGGGATTTGACCATAAACACTACATACATCCCACTTACTCATTGATGATTGCTTGATGACACTCTCTGCCCGTGCAGCTGGAGGAGACTCGGAACTCTGAGAAACAGATGAAGGTCTTGCAGAAGAAGCAGACGCAGCTCGTGCAGGAGAAGGACAACCTGAGGAACGAACACAGCAAAGCGGTCCTGGCCCGCGGCAAACTGGAGAGTCTCTGCCGGGAGCTGCAGCGACACAATCGCACTCTCAAGGTCCGTGGCGGGTCTAACAAGAGATTTTGTTCTGAACTTAGACCAATGCCTAATGATGTGTAAACCTTTTATTATAACCTTTTAGTATCTGCTAATTTGTGTATGGTTTCACTTTAGTGCATTATTGACTACAGGAAATGCCTAGAGAGGTTTGTATCTTAGAAAAACGGCCCACATTACGCAAAGACAAAGTGAGCTGGGGGTTTCCCTTGCTGTGGCGTGACAACACAACTTCATCTGCTTATAGAATACAGTATTTGTGGCAATGAATTAAACCTGGCGTACCTAACTTTATTTAGTTTTTTGTCCTAACTGACACAGCAAATCTCACCACAATACATAATGCTATCGTCATCTGATAAGAAAACGTGTAATTATTTTGCAACAAGGAGCCCAGTGAGTCACTATTTAATGCTTTGGACTGAGCTTTATTATAACTTCTGTCCAAAAAAGCTGATCTAAATATGTGACAAAGACCATGCATGCCTGTGAAAATGAGTGAAGGAACAAAATCGTGTTGACCAGTCGGATGGATTATTTTACATGGTTAATTTGGTTGTTGTTTGAAAGCTAGGTATCCCAGATGTGTTGAGGAAAGTCGGGGATACATTTGGACAGCTGCAAACTTTTCTTATTGGCAAAAATGTGCTAACAACAGTACAACCTGTTCACACGGCTCGGTTGTCTTTGCAGGAGGAGGGCATAAAGAGGACCCGGTTGGAAGAGGAGAAACGGAAGGAGGTGACGTCGCACTTTCAGGTGACCCTGTACGACATCCAGGCCCAGATGGAACAGCACGACGAGCGCAACGCCAGCCTTAGGCAAGAGAACGGCGAGCTGGCCGAGAAGCTGAAGAAACTCTATGAGCAGTACAAGCTAAGAGAGGAGGTGTGTGTGGTTACTTATGTTTGTTTGTGTGTGGGTGTGTGTTGTTACCGGTTTGAACGCTATATACTTATACGTGCATCTGTTATCAGCACATAGACAAAGTGGTGAAGCACAAAGACCTTCAGCAGCAACTCGTGGACGCCAAGCTGCACCAGGCTCAGCAGCTCCTCAAAGAATCCGAAGACCGACACGAGAGAGAAAAGGAGTTTGTAAGTAGAGATATGATTACAGACCAGGATTAATTATAGAATTTTTTTATTTATTTTTTACCTGTTAATGTCTGTCCTAGCCTGTTGCTCAAAACAAAACAAAAATTGTATTTGTATTATCCAACAATTTTACCACAGATTAATATCGGCACTACATACAATCTACTGCCTCCTTGCTACCAATTATCAGTATTAGCTCTTAACAAAACATATCGGTGGACCCCCATTATGTACTTGTATACAGTCGTGATTTAGAATAACTTGAAGTGTTTTTGACACATTGTTTCTTTCTCAGCTTTTGAAGGAATCTATGGAGTCTCAAAGAATGTGTGAAATGATGAAGCAGCAGGAGGTGCATCTCAAACAACAGGTTTGTATGATATATTATTTACAGACTGCTATTTTGCTTGAGAATTATACGTCTATATTTTCTTTACTTTTTTTTATAGCTATCGCTGTACACGGAGAGATTTGAGGAGTTTCAAACCACACTTTCCAAAAGTAATGAGGTTTTTACCACTTTTAAACAGGAGATGGAGAAGGTGAATAATTTATAGTATGCATTTTATATGATATGGTATATTCGTCCCTGAATATGTATCTCTTTTTGTTTTCAATAGATGACTAAAAAAATCAAGAAGCTGGAAAAGGAGACAGCCATGTATAGATCCAGATGGGAGAGCAGCAATAAGGCACTGCTCGAAATGGCTGAAGAGGTATTATTACATTGTGGTAAAGAGGCTAGTGGTTGGTTATGACATTTCAGTATATATGAAATATAAATAGTTGATGATAAATCTTAACATGGCAGTCATTGAAAGAAAAAAACAATCTTGTATGGGTCATAAATTCACACAAAATAATGTTGTCTCTCATAGTCAATTATAAAGTATCCATTTCCCCCCCCCCTAGAAATCAGTCAGAGATCGTGACTTTGAGGGACTGCAGGGCAAAGTGCAGAGACTGGAGAAGTTACGAAAAGCCCTAAAAGTCGAACGCAACGAGCTCAACAAGAAGGTCCAGAGTTTGAGCGGGGAACCATGCGGAGAGCCTGAGCCTGACTCCCCTTCCCCTCCGCCCACAGACTGTCTGATGGACCCCAACTCCTGCTCCCACCCCTGCCATTGTGAACACGCCCCCAGCACAGACCACAACACTGAGCTGCTGACCACACGAGAATAACCAGAGACACCGTTTGATACACCCACCACCCTGCAATGTCCACCGCTATTAATGTTATCTGCCGAATACACGCTGTTCACCATTTACTCCTGCTGTTAAATGAGTGACCCAAGTGTTTGTTTATCAAAAACAAGAAAGAAAAACTTGTGTATGCAGGCAACTTGAGCAATGTTGTTGACTCATCATTCCTCCAGCAAAATGTGTTTATTTCATAGAAGTTGCTTCATTTAAATGTTTTATATTCTTTATGTGCTATGTTTAAAACTTTTTTTGATTTTATCCAGACGAACATAGTTCTTGACATTTCTGTTACATGGTACCATGTGGTATCAGTCAATAGGTAGATATCTTACTGCATAAGAATGTTCTCTATCCAAAACTTGCCTTTCAATTCCATTTGACCATACTATTGACAGACAGGCACTTAACACATGAATGTATTCTGGCCTATTCATATTTGCATTGATGTTCCGTGCTATCACAGTGCATCTCTCACCACAAGTGATCACTTCTTTGAAATATGAATGTGTGGTTAAGACATGGTATAGCAGAATAGTTTACTTTTGGGAAAACATCCAGACTGCAAGGACAACCCAGTCTGGACTGTTTTCACATCAGCATTGTGAAGTTCTGCTGGCTGCATAAAGGAAGGGACCAAAGATGTTTCCTCTTACTATTATCGCTGTATATTTTGTTGATAAATAAAGACATCAATTGTGAGTATGTCTAATTGTGGATGAGCTGACAGTGTTGAAGAGACTGAATATCTTGAGTTTGACTAACTATTCTTATTACAGTATGCTTTCGTATGGAGGTATTCAGACAAACTTAAACATTGTGGTGTTGGATTATGCCATTTTTTTTGCACAATATACCAGTCCAGGAGGAGCATATTAGTAATGAAAATAGAAAAGCAGGCGTAAAAATATACCAATTCTGTTTGTGAACGGTAGGTGGCGCTCTGTCACTTTGTGCGAAGCGGAAGTACACATGGTCCTTTTCCGCCATCTGCCGAAACACGAGTGTGCGGCTTTTCTCCTCCTCAAGGATTTGGATAAACAAGTCAAACCTATTGGTGGAACTTGCCAGAATGGTTAGTATCGTCTATGTAAAACATATTCGTGTGGTTTACTGTCGTTCCCACTTGGCTAACTTAATGCTATGCTACTTTAGCAACAGAAAGGGAGGCTGCGTGACAGATGCTGTTGTTCAGTCTGGACACTGTTTACGAGGCGTTATTTAATTTAACAAAATATTCATTTATTTTGTCCACAGAAACCCATTCTGCTGCAGGGCCATGAGCGGTCCATCACACAGATCAAGTACAACCGAGAAGGAGACCTGCTGTTCTCTGTGGCTAAAGATACCGTGAGTGACATCCATGATCTAAAACTGCACACAGCAGTGATCCACTGATTATGTGACCACTGGGTTCTTTGTGTTTCTAAAGATTTGCAATGTCTGGTACTCTGTCAATGGTGAACGGCTTGGGACCTACAATGGACACACAGGAGCTGTGTGGTGCGTGGATTGTGACTGTATCCTTTCACTCAAAACGTCCATTACAGGGACTCCTCTATTTAAATGAGAGCAATGTTTATGTGCCTGGTATGCAAGACGATACACACAAAACGATGTACTTACAAGTGTTATACTCATTGGAGCATTCCTTAACCTGACGTTTTCAAAGGGGACACTAAAAACGTCTTGACCGGATCAGCAGACAACAGCTGTCGGCTGTGGGACTGTGAGACTGGTAAGTTGAAATATTTTATATATTTTTTTCATTTCTAAGCTCACCTGTGTTCACATGTGTTCAGGTAAACAGATTGCTCTGGTCGACACCAGCTCTGCTGTCAGGACTTGTGGGTTTGACTTCAGCGGAAACATCATAATGTTTTCTACAGACAAGCAGATGGGTTACCAGTGCTTCCTAAATTTCTATGACCTGAGGGATCCACAGCAAATTGGTATATTTCCATAATTTCATTTCGCAGTCCTCTCAGCGTTACTGTTAGAATTCTGATCAAATTTATTTTTAGAGGACAACCAGCCATACATAAGCCTCCCCTGCAATGACACTAAAGTGACCAGTGCTGCATGGGGCCCCCTGGGAGAGTATGTAATTGCAGGCCATGAGAACGGAGAGATCAACCAGTACAGTGCAAAGGTAAGGGCTAAGACTGGCAGATTAGGGAAAAAGTCTTTATTTCCACTCCATTCGAGAAACTACTACTTGTTGTTAATAGGATGGGGAGATCCTGAAGAAAGCTAAGGAGCACAGCCGGCAAATAAACGATTTGCAGCTCTCTGTAGATCTCACCATGTTCATCAGTGCCTCCAAAGACTGTACTGCTAAGGTGAGAATCATTACCGTATGTGTGTTTGCATGAAAAGCACAGGAGGAAGTATGAATTCATATCGCCCCATTTCAGCTGTTTGACTCCTCGTCATTGGATCACATAAAGACCTTCAAGACGGAAAGGCCTGTGAACTCTGCTGCAATCTCTCCCATGATGGATCACGTAAGGCTGGCCCTGATCTGTGCAGTGAGTGGTTTTGTCATTCCCATAACAACAGTTTTTTGTTTTTTTTACTTCAGGTGGTAATGGGCGGTGGTCAAGAAGCCATGGATGTCACCACAACCTCCACTAGGATTGGAAAGTTTGAGGCCAGGTAGGTGGATAATGTTTTTTTTTTTTTTTTTTGTGTCCCCAACATTGCATTGAACATTTGTGTCCTCTTCAGGTTTTTCCATGCTGCCTATGAAGAGGAGTTTGGCAGAGTGAAGGGTCATTTTGGTCCTATTAACTGCGTGGCATTCCATCCAGACGGAAAGAGGTAAGGGATTCATAAATATTGCAATGCTCACTTTGGATGGTTAGTCTCAAACTGAAGCCTGTCAGAAGAAATAATGCTTTTGCTTGCTATATACTGGTTTTAAATCCACCCATGGCTCACTGTTGCATATTAGGATTTAGGGTCAATATTGAAATTACAAATGTACTGTTAAATAAACATTCAGTCCTTGCTCCTTTCATGAGGTACTGAATTCTCAAACTAAAACTATGTAATTTAATAGATAGATACTTTATTGATCCCCCATAAGAGAAATTCAGGTGTCCTGCTGCAGAAAACACATCCTTATAAAACCATAAATACATCATACACATTTCTAACTACCTAACAGTGCATACTTTTTTTATTGTGATAGTTTATAGCCTTATTATTTTTTCTCAATCAAATTTAAGTAGCTATAGGACACTCATTAAAGCTAACGGTTAAGCTGTTAAATACCTATTTATATGTTGTGACCAGTTAAAACGGTCATCTTTCTGCTTTCTTTTGTTCTGTACATTACAACATGGAATCCTGTGGACAAAATGTGCTTTCTTTTCAAATTTTCTGGGTGCGGCTTTTATACAGGTGTGTTTAATAATCCAGACAGTACTGTAGTTCCTTGCTCTCAAAACAATTTGGTTCCATCACTAGTTTTCAAAAAAAGGAAATGATATCCGCACAGCTTTTAGCTCCCTCCGTATATTATAGTTTACACCAAGGTAATGTACCAGGCGTTGCCCTTCATTAGACATCCGCATGCACAACTGTTTGTCAAAGGCTCTGTCACATCAAATCAGGTTTTTTACACAGAAGTGTAAAAAAGAGGACCACCCTCACTCAATCACCTCTCAGCCAAAGTTTCAAATACTCTTTCTTGCAATAAGGCAAAGGATATCTTTTTACTAATAAGATGAGGACCACATTTTGTGGTGTGATTTGTTCATTCAACATTTTACTTAACAACTAAACAAATAAAATGGATGAGAAAAAGGAAGTTGGGTACCCTAGCTCTAACCTGCTCAGACAAAATGATTTCTTCTTCCCCCTCCATTTGAGAAAAATGTCTCCATGTAACGAGGTGAAATTGTGTGGTGGTCAGAGCGCAAAGCATCTCTTCAATATCTGATGTATGTCTACAGTCCTCTAATGACAACTTGGTTGTGAAAGGACAATTATAAAGTTCAGAAAATTAGATTTTTCTTACAGGTTTTGGTTATAATTGGTGTCTTTTGTGAACAGTTACAGCAGTGGTGGTGAGGATGGATACACCAGAATTCATTACTTCGACCCACAGTACTTTGACTTTGAGCTGGAGGCATAAACCCTGGCCAATCCCACACGACCTCACAGCTTCAGATAACTGGACTGAACTCTTCCAGCGACGAGATACACGTACAAGTGGACACTGGTTTTATTCAACGCTATCGTTTTCCAGTTGAACTCTTCAGAAAAAGGGATTTGAAGCTTTCACTTGTGGAAATCTGTCAAATTTCACATTTCCTTTTTTTTGACTGATTTATAACTACCCTCCCTACATCCGATAATTTAATATTGAAGCAAGTGTTTTCATTCCATCTCTTCCCCATAAAGCTCAATTAAAACAAATCAACTTTTGTATTTTCATTTCAATGCGTGTTCATTGTGTTCTTTGCACAAAGATGTGGTCTTTGGGTTTCTAAATTTGTGAAATTTGTTAAAAATGTAACATCTGAGAAACACTTTTTGATCATTGCCTAGAATGAGTCTGCTGCGAGAATGGTTGATGGTGGTTAGAGCGGTCGATGGCAGCTATGGCTACAGTAGTTCACCCCCGTTGTAGGGGATGATTTGACATGTGAAGCGTCTGAGTGTCAAAAGAGCTATATGCATTAACATAGGCACACCATCTCTAAGATTCATTTTATTACAAATTTAGAATTAACATTTCACAAACAATACATGGAGTTTCAGCTGTAAGGTACAAAATCTTTAAAATCGCTCTTCTCAGGCTTTCATTCACTCAAGATTAAACAACACATTGATCACTTTTGTTCCAAAATAAGTTAAAGGAAGTTGAGTTCTGACGCTCATGCATTCATTGATATTCGAGGAGCTGCACTGTAAACCCATGAGAAACCATACAGCTATGGAGCATACTGTTAACGCAGCTAACCTCAACATTGACTTAATTACAAATGTCAAAAGCAAATTAATCAAGCATTTCACAGTACAAAACACTAGGATGGGACAATACTATTAGTTTGTAGTTGGCTTCAAGTCTTCACCTCTTCTTTTGGTCTGAAATGTAGAATAAGGCTTCAATCATGTGTGAAAGTCTGTTAAATACAATATTTAAATGGAAAATGGCAATTAAAGTACAGCAGAGAATAAATGTTAAATTAAAACAATATTTTTCCAGGGGATGGAGCTGCAATCTACCTTTAAAAAAAAAAAAAGGCATTTAGGACAATGTTCCTTTTTTAGAAAAGACCTAACCAGAATCACCAGAATGATTGACAATTAGGAGGACCAATAGTCTAGATGATCCACCCGGAAGAAAATCCTCCTAAATACCTTTCAAGTATTTAATGATTCAGAAATATCCATTAGCTTTTTTTATTCCAATGCAATTTATCAATCACAAAATAAAATGTAATTTTGTAATGTAATGTCTTCATCGCCACATATTTTAAAAAATGTCAAGGTGTTTATATTGTAAAACGTACATTTTGAGCTCACATCTGCTGTAGTTTGAAATGTGTTGTAGGAATCACAGCTGGGTCGGCCAAACTACCAGCTCAAACAAGCAGCTCTCCGCGTTTATCAACACAGCCTTTCAAAGTTGATTCTGCACATTCAGATCTTTGACAGCTCTACAGTTGAAACCATATGGTGATAAATGTATGCGAGGGAATATGAACCAAAATAATGAAAGTCGTTGCAGAACCAACGCCACGTTTCAAATCAGGGGTTTCAAACCGGTCTTCAAAAGGGCTTGTGGCTGCAGGTTTTTATTCCATCTGAGCAGGAACATACCAGACAAGTCTTCAGGTTAAGACAGTACTGGACTAGTCTGGTGTGCTGCTTGTTTGGAATGAAATCCTGCAGCCACACTGGTACTTTCTGGAACTGGTTTGACATCCCTGTTTTAGAGCCTAATCCTCATTCATATTACCCAGATGTATCCATCTTGTCCATGTCCTTCTCCTCCTCTTTTACTTCTAAAAGAACAAAATAGAATCATGAACACAAGAGTCCTTTCACCAAGAAACAAAATAATATTGTTTACATGACGCCCAAACCTTTCTTTTCCTCTCCTTCCTTATCGTCTTCCTTCTTTACCCGCTTGGCCTTCTTGTGGTTGGCTGCATTCCTACGCCCGCCTCCCTGCCCTTCTGCTTCATCTTCAGAGTCCGAGAACTCCTCTTCACACGCTATCCTCTTGTCGTGGGCACGAACTGAAACACAAATATGGCTTTATCATTTCAACATTCAGTCCAGGCAGTCCAGGCTCCCCCCTGGACTGCCACCTTAAGAGAGTTTGAGTACTCGGATGATCCTGGGAGCTATGCTGTCTGGGGCTTCATGCCCCTGGTAGGGCCTCCCATGGCAGACAGGTCTCAGGTGACAAGTCAGACAAAGAGCAGTCCAGAAGACACCATGGACAGCACAGAAATGAAAACAGTGACGTCGCCCGGCATGGCGCAGCCGGGGCCCCACCCTGGAGCCAGGCCTGGGGTCGGGGCCCGTATGCGAGCGTCTGGTGGCCGGGCCTTAGCCCACGGGGCCCGGCCGGGCTCAGCCCAAAGGGATGACGTGGGCAGTCCCTCCTGTGGGCCCACCACCTGCAGAGGGGTCCGTGGTGAAGCGGTGCTGAGAGGACTGGGCGGCAGTCGAAGGCGGAGACCTCGGCGACCCAGTCCGCACACACAACATCTGGCTCTTGGGACGTGGAATGTCACCTCACTGGGGGGGAAGGAGCCCGAGCTCGTGGGGGAGGTTGAGCGATACCGACTAGAGATAGTCGGCCTCACCTCCACACACAGCTTGGGCTCTGGAACCCAACTCCTTGAGAGGGGTTGGACGCTCCACTTTTCTGGAGTTTCCCGCGGGGAGAGGCGGCGAGCTGGGGTGGCCATTCTCATTGCCCCCCATGTCAGCCGCCACGTGTTGGAGTTCTCCCCGGTGAATGAGAGGGTCGCGTCCCTCCGCCTCCGGGTGGGGGACAAGTCTCTCACTGTTGTGACGGCCTACGGGCCTAACGGCAGTGTAGAGTACCCGGCCTTCTTTGAGTCCTTGGGAGGGGTACTGGACGGTGCACCGCCCGGGGACTCCGTTATTCTCCTGGGGGACTTCAACGCCCATGTGGGAAACGCCAGTGACACTTGGAGAGGGGTGATCGGGAAGAGCGGCCCCCCTGATCTGAACCCGAGCGGTGTTCAGTTGTTGGACTTCTGTGCCAGTCGCGGTTTGTCCATCACGAACACCATGTTCGAGCACAAGGGTGTCCACCAGTGCACGTGGCACCAGGACACCCTAGGCCGGAGGTTGATGATCGACTTTGTTGTCGTATCATCTGACCTTCGACCGCGTGTCTCGGACACTCGGGTAAAGAGAGGGGCGGAGCTGTCAACCGATCATCACCTGGTCGTGAGTTGGATCCGCTGGCAGGGGAAGAAGCCGGTCAGACCTGGCAGACCCAAGCGTATAGTGAGGGTCTGCTGGGAACGTCTCGCTGAGCCCCCTGTCAGACGGACTTTCAACTCACACCTCGGAGAGTTTCTCCCAGGTCCCGGCGGAGGAGGGGGACATGGAGTCCGAGTGGACCATGTTCTCTGCCTCAATCGCCGATGCGGCGGCTCGTAGCTGTGGTCGCAAGGTCTCTGGTGCTGGTCCCGGCGGCAACCCCCGAACCCGGTGGTGGACACCGGCAGTAAGGGATGCTGTCAGGCTGAAGAAGGAGTCCTATCGAGCCATGATGGTTCGGGGGACTCCTGAGGCAGCTGTCCAGTACCGGCAGGCCAAGCGTGCCGCGGCCCGGGCTGTTGCAGAGGCAAAAACCCGGGACTGGGAGGAGTTCGGAGAGTCCATGGAGCATGACTATCGGTCGGCCTCGAAGAGATTCTGGCAAACCATCCGACGCCTCAGGAGGGGGAAGCAGTTCTTTGCCAACACCATGTACGGTGCGTGTGGAGAGCTGCTGACCTCGACTGGGGATATTGTCGGGCGGTGGAAGGAATACTTCGAGGTTCTCCTCAATCCCCCCGTCACGTCCTCTGTTACAGAGGCAGAGGCTGAGGATGTTGGGGCGGGTACATCCATCTCCCTGGCTGAGGTCACCAAGGTGGTTGGTAGCCTCCATGGTGGCAAGGCTCCGGGTGTGGATGAGATCCGCCCTGATTATCTAAAGTCTCTGGATGTTGTAGGACTGTCTTGGCTGACACGTCTCTGCAACATCGCGTGGCGATCTGGGGCAGTGCCAATGGAGTGGCAGACCGGGGTGGTGGTCCCTCTCTACAAGAAGGGGGACCGGAGGGTGTGTTCCAATTATCGTGGGATCACACTCCTCAGCCTCCCCGGTAAGGTCTACTCCAAGGTACTGGAGAGGAGGTTACGGCCGATGGTCGAATCTCGGATACAGGAGGAGCAGTGTGGTTTTCGTCCCGGTGGCGGAACACTGGACCAGCTCTATACTCTCCATCGGATACTCGAGGGTTCATGGGAGTTCGCCCAACCTGTCCACATGTGCTTTGTGGATTTGGAGAAGGCGTTCGACTGTGTTCCCCGGGGTGTCCTTTGGGGGGTTCTCCGGGAGTACGGGGTCGGAGGTCCTCTGCTGAGGGCCATCCGATCCCTGTATGACCGGAGCCAGAGCTGTGTTCGCATTGCCGGCAGTAAGTCAGACCTGTTCCCGGTGAATGTTGGCCTCCGACAGGGCTGCCCTTTGTCACCGGTTCTGTTCACTGTATTTATGGACAGAATATCTAGGCGCAGCCAGGGGTCGGAGGGGGTCCGGTTCGGAGACCACAGGATTTCATCTCTGCTGTTTGCGGACGATGTTGTCCTGTTGGCTCCAACGAACCAGGACCTGCAGCATGCACTGGGGCGGTTTGCAGCCGAGTGTGAAGCGGCTGGGATGAGAATCAGCACCTCCAAATCCGAGGCCATGGTGCTCGACCGGAAAAAGGTGCCTTGCCCTCTGCAGGTGGGTGGAGAGGTCCTTCCTCAAGTGGAGGAGTTCAAGTATCTCGGGGTCTTGTTCACGAGTGAGGGAAGAATGGAGCGTGAGATTGACAGGCGGATCGGTGCAGCGTGCGCAGTTATGCGGTCGCTGTATCGGACCGTTGTGGTAAAGAGGGAGCTGAGCCGAAAGGCAAAGCTCTCGATTTACCGGTCAATCTTCGTTCCCTCCCTCACCTATGGTCATGAGCTTTGGGTAATGACCGAAAGAACGAGATCGCGGATACAAGCGGTCGAAATGAGCTTCCTCCGCAGAGTGGCTGGGCGCTCCCTTAGAGATAGGGTGAGGAGCTCAGTCACACGGGAGGAGCTCGGAGTAGAGCCGCTGCTTCTCCACGTCGAGAGGAACCAGTTGAGGTGGCTCGGGCATCTGTTCCGGATGCCTCCTGGACGCCTCCCTGGGGAGGTGTTCCGGGCACGTCCCACCGGGAGGAGGCCCCGCGGAAGACCTAGGACACACTGGAGGGACTATGTCTCTAAGCTGGCCTGGGAACGCCTTGGGGTCCCCCCGGACGAGCTGGAGGAAGTGTGTGTGGATAGGGAAGTCTGGGCGTCTCTGCTTAGACTGCTGCCCCCGCGACCCGGCAACGGATAAAGCGGAAGAAAATGGATGGATGGGCATTTCAAGAGAGATGTACAAAAGTATAATACAGTGCAGCTATATTATTCTCACTCGAAACCCGTTTGTCAGGGTCCTCCTCCTCCTCATCTCCACTGTCAGGGTGTGGGGCATCCTCTGGGATGGGCTGCATCTGGACCCCAGGGGCATGTGGGAGCATGCGGAGGTTTTCAAAAAGACGCTGCTTTATCTTCTCCAGGTATTCGTTGGTGTTTTGATTGGTCATGTTGGACGGGCTGATGTGCAGTTTGAAGTCAGGCCCAAAGTATTCAAAATAGTCATTATAGGGCAGCTCATTGGGGATGGAGGAGTCCAGGGCTACTGCGGTTTCATAAGTCCAGCAGCGGGCCACATTACGGATGGTATAGCCACCCCCTCCGAGCATCAGCAGAGGAAGATTGAAACTTTTGATATATTCCACACATTTGGCATGGCCTAGAACCAGACAAATAAACACACTACATTAACATTATGTTGAGAAATAACAACTTTATGTATTCATTTTTAAAAGTACCTTTGATAGTTAAATTAAAACAACCCAATCTGTCTCCTGAGAGGGAATCTGCTCCGCACTGAAGAACTACGGCACTCGGTTGGTACATCTCCATCACCTTGGCCATAATCTGGTAACATAATATGGTTAGTGTAGCAAGATCCTGCAAAGGATGTGGTTCAAAAGGAGATGATTTAAGGTTTCATTTCTTACAGGTTTAAAGATGGCTTCATAGGACTCATCATCAATGCCATCCCGCAGAGGATAGTTTACTGCATAATACTTCCCTTTTCCTGCTCCAATATCCTACAGAAAAAAAAAACATAATAAAGCAAACTAGATAAGTAATATAGATAAATAATATAATACATATAAGTAATATTGGTGCAAAAATAAGAAATAAAATGCAAACAAATAGTCAGGAAAAAACAGGTGAAAACATAACCTTGTTCGATATAACTAACCCTCAAGTCTCCAGTACCAGGGAAGTACTCCCCGTATTTGTGGAAGGACACAGTCATGACCCGGTCTGTGGTGTAGAAGGCCTCCTCCACTCCATCACCGTGATGAATGTCAATGTCTATATACAGCACTCTCTGATGATACCTGCACAAAGAAATATACTCATAAGAAACTCAATAACGTATCAAAACCTCTTTTGTGAGCATTCCTACAAAACAATTGTGAAGAGTTAAAAACATACTTTAACAGCTCCAAAATGGCCAGGACGATGTCATTCACATAACAAAACCCAGACGCTTCAGATTTCTTGGCGTGATGAAGCCCACCTGCCCAGTTAATGGCAATGTCTGTCTGTTGCTTATTCAGCTTCACGGCTCCAGCTTTTAATTAGAATAACAACAATCATGACATTTAATCTAAGAAAACCTTGATACATTGTGTCTTGAGAAAACATACCAACAGAGCCACCCGTCGAGAGCTGGCAAAATTCAAAAAGTCCATCGAACACAGGACAATCCTCTCCTACATTAACTAGAGAAGAGTAGACATCATTCACCGTTTCAAACTAAATACTAATGATTAAATCGGACTCACATCTTTGCATCTGCTTGCTGTATTCCGACATGTTGTCTGGTCGAATGGACCTGAGAAACTTAATGTAATCATCACTGTGGTATTTGGTCATCTCTTCTCCACTCGCTTTGTGTGGTCTCTGAAAACACAGGCTGGGTTTGTGAGACATTGTGGAATGCTACAAATATTTTAAACCAAATTAAAATACAATACTCCAAGAATGATACTGATAATGACTCACATAGATCTCCATTTTCCTGTACAGTCCATAGTTTAGGAGGAGGTTATGGGTCATACGAATCCTGTGAGGCTTCATAGGATGGCCCTGGCCGTAATAGTAGTTTCCAACGTCACCTTAATAAACAAAAGCGTGTTTAATATGTTAACACGATGGACTAAAATACGTGCATCAGCGGTGATGTTTTATTATTTGTATTTTTTAACACGTTCAAATACTAGATATATGCGGATGGTTTCACATGTGTCATATGGCTCATGTCAGGTCTGTGATTGGTGACTTGTGACCCCCACTTTCTCCGAGGTGTTTTTTTCCTTGAGCCCGGAGCAGAGGTGTCACAGCCGCAAAAGAGCCAGGTCTGTGCTCATGATAGATTAGAGAAGTCCTAAAGTCTTTGTCATTTAGAAGCTAACAGCTAGCCTCTTAGCTAAGATTAGCCTGCTACACCGGTTAGCCTGGTCACACAAGCCGTGCTCGAGACCCGCCTCATACGGAAACAAACGAGCCAAATAAACCTAAAGGGCGCTTATTACATAACGTGTGCTTACCATCATAGTAATAGCAAACTTTCTTCTTTGTTCCTTGAGACAGCGCCATTTTACATCAATTAGCAGCTCTGTTGGGTGCTCGCCGGGTCCTCTGCAGCTGCTGAGCGTGTGCACCGCCCGTCCGGGAGGAGTGCTGGCACAAAGCGAGGACCACCCAGCGGGCATCCTCCTCTCCATCCTCATCCTCTTCTCATGCACAGTTCTGGGCCATAGACTGGGCCACAGACTCCTTCTACAGTCAATGGTACGTACATGTTGACCTCGTGTTCCCTCCCTTTAAGACATTAAGTTGTTGCTGTAGTGTGATGAGCAAAACTGTGATTTTTAAATATGCCTCCAATAAAACAAGCTCACATAAAAGGTAGGCCTATAGCCTATGTTTCTTATGCATAGATCTTTCATACGACTATATGATGTTTCAGAAGGCTTTTTCTAATATTGTCATCTTCATACAAAGGAACTCACTGTTTTGACAATTCCTGTGATTTTGGATAAATGCGCTGGAACATGGCATGGAACACTTGCTATTAATGCTGATTCTGACTTGGTAATTATACTCACGATCCATCAATCCATTTTTGATGGATCTGTTGTGAGGAGTCTGAGCAGAGACATCCAGATTTCCTATTCAGTATCAGTATCCACACATACTGCCTCTGAGGGAATCCTTGGGTGTTCTCAGGCCTACTCACAGATAGTCCCTCCAGTGTGTCCTGTGACTTCTCCATTGTCTCCTCCCGGTAGAACACCTCCTCAGGGCTTACAGGAGGCACCTGAAACAAGTCACCATCACTGGCCCTTCTCAACTTGGTGATAGCAGCTCTACTTTGAGCTCCTCCCGTTAGCTATCAGAGAAGCTCATTTGACCGCTTTATACCCCACGGGGTCCTTTCGGTCTTTGCCTTAAACATGGGCAAACTTTTTCCTCCTGAACTTGAACATCAATCTCATTTACAATATTTTTTGCCAGGCTTAATTTTTTTACACATAAATAAATTATATTTTATATTATATACCACATAGCGAGGAGCGTGTCGGGCCTCCAGAGCTCTGCATGCAACACAGACGGATTCAGTCATTCATTGTCCCATTTACTGAGCCAATTCTGAGTCAGGGTAAAGTAGGACTGATGTGTCCCTGGGCAAGACACTTTGACTTGCTCAGGGACACAACATCAGTCAGTGGGAATAGGTGGAGGTTCCAACTGAGCCACTGTCAGTTTTGAAGTTTTTCTATTCTATATTCATGTAAAATGAGGAGGGCTGGCATTTGCCCACCACTGGAATAGCTCGACTTGTTTCATGTATGTGAAGTTTATATGTAGAAATATACTACAGGTGAAAAATTCTAATATTGTTCAAAAGATTACTATTGTTCTGTATTTCAACTTAAAATGTGAAACCTATACTATAGTAAGGCTAGGCGCCTTTACAAGCCGTGAACTATAATAATGATATATAGTAATGAGTCTATCATTTAGTAGTTCACATTGTAAGTTGAATTAAAGAAGTAAATGGACTTTTGAGCGATATTCTAAATTTCCAAGTTTCCGATGTATGTGCAGGCATTAATCTTATAACCTGGCTCACAGTCGAGCAAAATTCATCTCGCAGTGGATATTCATTTCATATATCTTTTGTGCAATTTTATAAATCTTCCTTTAAATTTGTAAAGGTTGTGTTACACATAGACTTGTTACAACAGCTGAGAATGAGAAAAATAGAAAATTATTTGACGATAGATTGGTTACTGTAGGCTTTGAACAAAGAACTAAGTATGCATTTATGGGAGAGAGGATGAAATTAGATGTGAGCGTAGATGATTGAGACATGTTTTGACACAAGTAGGAAAAGCAATGACATGACATGTTCAATGTAAAATGCAATGTAATATTTAGTAGCAATACCTTGAGTGGACACCAGATGTCAGTCTACACTAATATTGGATTACATTTATATATAGACATATATATATTTATAAGTCCAAACAAGACTATGCTTTTAGAATTACTGAATGATCATTGCTGTAAAATGAAACGATCAGTGTAATGGATTATAAAATGAGGTGGATGCTCTTTTATGCCATCAGGGGTTTGGCCTGCCACCATTCTCTTAATGCAAGGATAATGTAGTGTTTAAGGTCACCAAATGGATATGCCTGCAGAGTCAATGAGCCGTTCCAATTTCCAGCTACAGCTCGCCTTTTAATTATTGATATTAGTACAAGGGATGCTTCCAAATGTAGTTCAGATCTCCGCTCAGCATATCCCAGCATGTGAACTAGGTCATTTCACTCATGGCATTGCTTCTAAGCTAGTTGTAAAGGCCTTAAGATACCGAAAATGGTGTGGGCTAGTGGAATATTGCCCATCACATGCTGGGTAAGGACATTTAAAATATGGTTTGATCTATGTAGCTAGAACTGTACTATTTTGATACATTTCACACAATGATAATGGTACAAATTGATCAAATTAAACACAACACTTTAAAGTAATATTGCAAGCTCTAATTACCATTTGGGATTATTAACTTAATGGTCTATCAAATGGTATTGTAATGATATTGTCTTTTGGGTAATGTGGTTGCTTCTGCACGTATAATCAATCTAATTTTAAATAGATATGAACTTTCTCATGTAATGTGTATAATAAGTGGCGTTAACAATCATACATTGATTTCATTGTGATTGGTCCTGACTACCTCCAAAAGCAGTGCTTTTGGAACTATGAATAACTGGAGACAAAACGTGTCAGGTAACCAACATTTATTTACCATTATCAACTTTACAATAAAACCAGTAACATCTGTCAACATTAGCAAAATAAAGAACAAAAATCAATCCAATGTATTTACAAAGACAAAGCAGATTCAGGCTCACACACGACAGATAAACATCTCTGCTTCATATCAAACCGCAACAGTGAACATAGCAAGCTTAAGTGTTCTTCTTTTATAGTAAGGTAAAAATCAAAATTGTCTATTTTTTTACTTTAAACAAACAAGACATAGCTTCTCTGAATCTTTAAGATGGTCCTCTATAATACACCACAAAATACTTCAAATTTGGGTTAAAATATAGGAATGTAAAAAGTTGGCAAGTCTCTTTAATTTCGGATTTGTTTTTTGTTATTTAACAGTCATTTCAGGTGGTGGTGTCCTACTGTCATGTTAAGCTTCATTCCTTCAGCACAGAGGCATCTTAGTCTCAGATTTTAAGGAAAGGATGCTCTTCTTTGTGTCAACATCCTTCAATCTTCGTGTTGTCAGTAGCTGGCGTTCCAGCCTTTAAAATCCATTCTCCTCAGAGCAGCCAGCTCACAGGTCCAGATGTCGAGCAGTAACCAGGGAAGTGATCTAGTGAATCTAGTCTGTCGTCTTTGTTATCATGACGAAAAGTGGCACGTTGAAGGAGTCTCTCACATACATGTGTATATATTTACATATACATATATCCATATACATATGTATACATATACACATATATATATAAATATATATATACTCTTAAATTTTCTCTCTCTCTCTTGAAAAACAGTTCACCCAGTTCATTGTGAGCTGATGGTACAATCACTCCTTCTTTTCAGAGGGAGCGGGGGTCGAGCTGCTCTCCTCTGTGGGTTTTGTGGGCTCTGCGGCGGGAGCCGCTTCCTCTTTGGGCTCTTCTTTAGGGGCCTCCTCTTTAGGAGTCTCCTCGGCTTTAGGAGCCTCAGCTGCAGCAGCAGCAGCAGCAGGAGGTGCAGCAGCCTCTTCCTTGGCCTCCTCTTTCTTCTCTTCTGCAGCTGCCTCCTCCTTCTTCTCCTCAGGGGCAGCAGCAGCCTCCTCCTTCACCGCTGCATCGCTCTTCTTGCTCTTCTTCAGGTTCAGCTTGAAGTTGAAGGACTTCTTCAGGGAGAACTTCTTCTTCTTCTTCTTGGGGGTCTCTTTAGTAGCAGCATCGCCCTCAGCTTTGGCAGCCTCTCCATCTGCAGCAGGTGCAGGCTCGATGGCATCGCCCTCTGCACCAGCCTCGGGTTCCTTGGCTGCATCTGCAGAACCATTGGTGGCAGCAGCATCTCCTTCGGTTTTGGAGACATCCCCATTAGATTTCACATGTCCATTCTCCTGAAAAAGCAGAAGAAAAATCTTTCACCAAATTGCACTTAATTGATTTCTCATGTTTTTTCCAAACACAACTGAAACCACCATGGATTATGCTGTAGCAGAGGTAAATATTAGTTGTTTCTGTTAATGATGTTCAGAGCATCGTCGTGCTCATCAATTAACAACCGTGTCGCCAGTGAAAAGGCGACGCCTTGCAGTACAACAATCAATCGATAAGCGGCGGTAGCTCCTCACAAAACAGCCCATGTACCAGACAGACGCTCAACAAAGACTTGCGGTAATCGATGGAAGAATTAACATTTTCAAGATAACCCTTCAGAAACGATACTCTTTCATATCTGTTGGGCTTTCCGCCATTTAAGCAAAGGCTCCTGATTGGCACAATTCATATAATTTGACAACGTGTCACAAATCGGATAGAATTCGGCAATGCAATTTAAACATCGGCCAATTACCCCACTAAGTGATTTATTTTCGTCGTCTTACGTACAAAATGTCTAATTTATATCTATTTAATTGGGACAGACGACAATAAAAAGACACATTTTCTCAGGGAGGAGTAGCAGACTGCCTACGTGCGCCTGAAGTGCCCCCCTCCCCCTTTTATTCACGCTAGCACTCAACCACGCTGTGCACATTTCCAAACCTCGCTCCATAGTAACATATTTATGCTTTAATTTGTCTGCTGCATAAAAGCTCAAAGTGCAAGCTTTTCTTATGGGCTATTGGCAGAGAGCGTCGCGCACAAGCACAAAGTGATGCTCCAACCCACCTGTCTCTCAAACTCACATTCAACAGGGAAAATACTTTTGATCAGGTATATGCATCAGAAAACTGACTATTTATTCAGTGCACAATGTGTGCTGTTCAAATGAAGTTCCAGTGTGCATTTACCTGTCCATTGGTTTTGACAGCCGCAGCATCAGCGGCAGCAGCGTTTGCCTCCGTGGCCACATCTCCCTTGGATGACTGGGACCCCATTGTCTTCAGTGAGTTTAAGTGCGTCTTCTAAAGCAAACGAAAAATAAAAACTAAAAAAAGAGTGGTGCAAATTAATCCAACTCCAGTGCAAGTTACGTATCCAGTGGTGAAAAGTAAAGTAGCCCGTGCTTCTGGATGAAAAGACAGTTCCCTCGGCTGCTCCCCGGATCAGACTTGACGCCCCTGCTGTATGAGACCCTCTGAAGCCGACACTGGTTGAGCGCAGAGCAAAAACATACAGCAGGTTCAGGGCACCTCCCGAAGGCGGATTCTACACAAGAGCGGGCCAATCACGAGCCACAGAAAAGGAAAGTTTTCTCTCCATCAGCCAATCACAGCACAGTCTCTAAATTACCTCTCCTATATTCAACAGACCCCCAACAAGCTGTGACATCAACTCTACAATATTTCAACCTCATTTTACCTGCATGGAAAAACACAACATTTTATATATGCACTGTCTATTACTAATTCATCTAACAACATTTTTATAAATCCCCAGCTGTGACCTTTGGACCATTTTTAATGGTGTTGAAATTATGAAAAACCCCTTGTGAAGTTTATGGTCTGGTTTCTGCTGTGGTTTTCCATTTGCTTATTTCATAACTAGGGAGAGTTTCAGTGCTTTTGGTTTTATTTTCACTATGATGCTTGGAGGTGGGATCAGATTGGCTGGATTTACCAAGCTGTAATAAAGCTATAGGTCAAAATAAGAATGCAAATGAGAACTCTGGAGAGACAAAAATGTAATTAAATATCCACTATTGACCCGCTGGGAATTGTCCAATATGATTTTAGGACCGGTTTGTTTTTGATTATTGAGTATATTATGTAAATGTTGAATAGGATAGTATAATAAGATTGTGACATGGTCTAATAGAATTTTGAAATGGTCTAATAGGCTTTTGAGGGAACAAATTAAATCTAATTCGATTTCTATTAGATTCTTATGGTGTTTCAGATGCGCCCTGGATGCCTCTCTGGGGAGGTGTTCCGGGCCTGTCTCACCCAACTGAGGCCCCGGGGAAGACCTGTTAAACAGTCTGGATGTTTCTCAGCTGTCCTGGGAACACCTCAAGTCTCTCGAGTGAGCTGGAGGAAGTGTGCGTGGAAAGGGAAGTCTCCGCTTAGATTACTGTCCCTGCAATGGGACAAGGTAAAGTCATATTGAAATAGACTTGCGGCCAATTTTATTGAGTTTTTCGTTAAGTTTAAGCAAGTTGGAACATACCCTTTTCACTAGAGAAAAGTGGACAGTGCATTGCAATAGTATCAAATGAGTACCAATACACACAACCGTCACTTCTCAGTTTTGGTGAATCTTGCTGCTGCTGATTTACCGGAGTCGCAGTGTCGGGGCAAACTGCATGTCACGTTGCCTCTGCATGGCCCCTGACTGGATTTGTTGTTCACTTCCGATTGTCAACAACAGCAGCAAAATATGTCAATGTGATGATCATGCACATTCCACCTGATCATTCGCTCCCACACAAACATTCCTTGTAACAGCTGTTAAGACGACTTATTTGGTGTTATGGACGGCAAAGGACTTCCAGTGTTCCGTGCTGCAAATTGATCTTCACTGCGACCAATCAGCGTAATTGATTTTGCAAGACTTGGGAACATTGGAATGCATGTCAGCAGCCTGTCTCGATGCTAAACTAGCGGAGCACATTAGTTCACATTTAAGTAAAGGTGGACGTGACCATGTAAATAGATTCAATTCAGTGTCGCGCTGGTGCGACACGTGCATTTGTTTTTTTTCTAGATGTACATTCATCGCCATCATCATACCGTGATGTAATTAATCAAAAACATGTATATTTTACAGCAAGAAAGACAATGTGGGACCTTGTGGGGTCTCTATCTTGCCTCAGTGGAGCTCATAAAAAACCATACTATGTAACGATGTTCTGAAAATGGCTAAAAATGTCCTGTCTGTATGAAAAAAGCTAATATAAATTTGTGACAAAGGCCAACATTTTTTGAGTAATTCTTAAGTTAATCTTGAATTCAAATATATAGACTAACAACTTAAGTCTGTATAGAACCAAACTATTATGAAAGAGAGGACCTATTGTGATAGATTGTTCCAATTCTTGTGGTTTGAAAGCCTGGTACACTTGTTACTTTTCCACATACTTTCCAATGTGGTTTTATCAAATCACTGCAAATATCAAATCACTTGAACCTTAACTTTAAAGTTAGCTCATTCACCTGTGCGTTTTAGTTCAAATCTACACGTTTTTGTCTTTACTTATGTTGTATTTAACTTGTAATTCTCTCCAAGTCTTCCATGCTCGCTCACCCCTCTGCCGTCACACCGAACGGATAACCTTTTCTCACACACGTATCACGCTGTATCTATCCAGCCCGGCCTTGTAAATGTCATAATAATGTGTCCACTGTGTACTGTGGAATGCCTGGCACGCTGGCCCTCTCCACTCCTCGAGCCATCTTCTCCTGTCAATGGGCTTCTTCACAGCAAAGCCTGCCTCGAGGTACACAACCCATGCAACTTCTCTGGACCCGAGCTCCAACGACTTAACACCGTCACGTCTTTAACTTTTGCGCATCAAGGAGCCCATTCTTTCATGTGTGCGAAATCCGTGCGCCGCGTGGATGATGAGACGCTAGTGCTCGATACGTCGTCTTCTGTGCTTAGCCACTTATCACATGTGGGTCTTTGTGTTATGCGCATATAAGGAAAGCATTGTCACACGGGGTCCAGCGGGTGAATGGCACAGAAAAGCAATCCTTCACACATAGACACATATTATGCACACATGGACATACAATGCGTCAGTTGGGACAGCGGTCATAGTATAGACGCACAGTGGAATGCGAGGAGGAGGAAGAAGTGGAGTTTCAACAGCCTTAGATGGAAGAGCGTTCGAGTAGGATGCTATGCTGTTTAGATATGGCATTCCTAGTGTTCAAAAACAAAAGGGATGAGGCACTGATAGCCCAAAGATAGCGACGATGTGGCAATGTTTTATCGAACACAAGTCTGCAGAGTGGATTCTGGGTAAGAGGGAGGACGAGGACATGTAATGGATGGCGATAAAACAGAATATTTTATCATTATCCAAGTATTTCAACAATTGTATTTTGCTTCAGTTTTGACGGATTTGGACTGGGATGTTACAGGAAGGGAAAATGTCATTATAGATTGAGAGTATTCAAAACTAAAAGGAAAGATATCTGGTTAATGAGTCTGTGTTCATCTGAAATTGACAAAGAACTTTGAGTACTTTATGTTGTTTAATCTGAGATTTTGCTTTGTTTCCACCAGACTTTGCTTGAGTCTTTAATAAAGATAAGAACATACTTAGTCACCACCAGAGAGATTTATTGCACGGTTGTTACAATGTTATGACAAATGTCTTCACAAGTTCTTTTTTTTTGTACGTGTGGGAAGAGTGAACAAAACTGTGTGTCCTGAGATTCACCACAAACATTTGTGTTTCTTGCACTGATTGCTCTGCAGATTACTCAGTATGTGGTGCTTTTTATCATATTTTATTGAAGGGACAGTGTAGTTAACATTTTAAAGATTAGGTTCCTATTTCCAAACCACAACAATTTCCACATGCATTTCTTTTTTAGATCAGCCTTTTCAAACCACCCTCACTTACCCAATCAGCTCCCCTCCCTCTCATCCCAAAGTGTCAAATAGTGACCCACTAGGAAACAAAAACAGTTTGCATAATATATCTGTTTTTCCTAATAAGAGAAGGATGGCGTGCTGTGGTTTGTTTTGTTCCCAACATTTTGGGGAAAACTTTTTTGGGACAAACAACATGAAAAACGCTAATTCATTATTATTATTATTATTATTATTATTTACAACAAAATTAGATACCTCACCTTTAATTCACATCAAGGCAGCTTCTCCTTTTAGTAGCAATATGTTGGAAATCTTTTTACTCTCAATCGATACATTTCTTGGACTACTAAAGTATATTTTATGTGAGTTAAATTTTTGGAGCAGGGTTTATCTAACTTGAGTTTTCTTGTTTAAGCTAATCTTCTCACAGCTGATACCGAAGCCTATGGACCATATGCAAAATGAAGCTTAATACAATACCAGCTTGCATATGTGATCAGTGCTTCACCTCCTGCTCCGAATACATGTGTACTTGTTATAATAAATGGCATGAAGTTGGTAAACTACTGCTCAAAATTGCACTTGTTAGAAATGATTAATTGACATGTGTAAGATGCCTTGCTGATGACATGGAGACAAACAACGACGCTGCTTTCCACAGATGCAAGGTTAATGGCCGCATTATGTCTGCTGTCAGTGGGGGCTGAAGGTGAAAGTGAAATGAGAGGTGCGTCAGTCTGAGAGCGAGCTGAGGTGAGGAGAAGACGGCTGTATCTCCCTACCAGTCCAGGGGTTTTCCAGGGACAGTTTCTGCATTAATCATGATGTATGCAAACAACTTGGAAGTCACCTACTCTCCCAGGCGGACACAACAACACCACAGCATACAGCCTCCTCCAACACCTCGTGCTTGTTTTTATTTACTACACTACACACTCTCTAGATCATTTAAGTGGTAAAAATGACTAAGTACATGATATTTCAAAATAAATTGCGTATGTGGAAGAAGGAGGTGTGATGCCCTCACCGCAGAGCAAGAAATGGGTGTGCGTGCGTGTGATATGAGTGAGAAGGGTTGGAGCCAAATTAGCATCTGCTTTGTCCAAGTCCTTTCCAAATGTCATTCCGTTTGATGTTTTTTGGATACTGTCCACTTTCTTGTCCTTTGTACACAAGTTTGAAATTCTATAACTAAATTGCTACTATTACTGCTATGCTATGCTTATGTGAATAAAGTTGCATTTCACAACTTTCCTGGTGGGACGTTCATCTTTGGGCTTGGATCCACCCAAGCGTTGTTTTGCCTTGAATGTTCCACAGTACAGCCTTGAACTGCATTGGAAAAAAGCAAATGACTTTAAGTACTCCAGCTTTAAGTTAATGTACCTTA